CGTGGCAGCTGTGGGGCAATTCCTGGCCACCATGGTGCCACCAGGCGTTTACAAGAGGTAGGATCAGCCTGGGGGGGCTGTGGGAAAGCTGTGCCCATGCCGGGAAAGGGGATGCCCGAGCTGGGGTGGTGGCTGGGGATGGTCCCCGTCCCTTCCCCCGGACAGCCAAGCCCTGCCAGCGCGGGGCAGGGGCAGCCCCGGCTGGGGGCTGTGGGTCCAGCCCTTCTCTGCTGTTCCAGAGACCCCAAGTGCAGGTTCCAGAATGTGTCTGGCCCCGGTGGCCCATTCCCAGCAGTGAGGCTCTGCAACAGCTACTGGAGCAGAGAGGTACGGGGAAGGGAGCACGAGGGTCCTGAGGACGTGGCAGGTCAGGGCTTGGCTGCCCGGAGGACCCCACAGGGGTCTGAAAGGGAAATTGGGTGCAGAGCATGACAGCCAACCAAGGGGTGTGAGATCCTCCCCATCCGGACATCCCCAGATACCACCTCCAGCCACAGTGGGCTCAGACCTCAAGGTTGAGCTGATGTGGAAAAAATGAACCTGGAAGAAGTCCCTGGTCCCCCTGGGCCCAGGGTCTGCACCCCTATGGGCACCAGTTCAGTGGTGTGGGGCTGCCCCATGTCCTCGGTCCTGCAAGGAATCACCTGCTCTTCCCATTTCCCCTCAGAGCACCGGGCTGCAGCAGGCAGAGGATGTGGACAACCTCCTGCTGGGGATGAGCTCACAGATTGCCGAGCGGGAGGACAACATTGTGGTGGAAGATCTCCAAGGTCTGCACCCCCCCTGCACCGCAGCTGGTGTGTCGGTGGGGGACCCTCTGTCCCGGGGCTGTGTGGGGGCCAAGGTGGGGAGACAAGTCCCATGGCCACCGCCATCAGCATCCAACCACACACGCCAACCAGCTTCAACCTTGTTAATGGAGATGCAGGGAAGCTGCAGGACATGTTAAGCATGTTACGTGACCGTCCTGGCAAGGGCATGGAGATGATCCCCCCATGTTCAGCGTGGCCCATGGCAGAGGGAGGCCAGCCCAGCAGCTATGGCGATTGGGGTTGCTCCTCTGGCTCTGCCTTGCTATCACTGCAGCTTCAAATCCACCCACAGATTACTGGTACGGGCCCCTGAAGTACTCCCGCACTGACTACGTGGCCAGCTGGTTTCAGCGTGGGCGAGACCTTGGCCTGCCCACCTATAACCAAGCCCGGGAGCGATTTGGGTTGGATCCTCTCCAGAACTGGTCAGACCTTGCCCCACACCTGGAGCAACAGGTAACAGGGAACTGGTCTGGGCACAGAAATGGTGTGGGTCAAAGGACGTTGGGGCAGTCCAGGCAGTAACTGGCTTCTCCAGCAATGTAGGAGAACATCACTGTGCATCCTGCCCTAGCTCATTTTCATGCCTGCGGGGCTGTTGCATTGGGGTAACTGTGTAATTACATGTCATGAATAAATATATCCTGTCCCAGTGCTAAGCTCCTGTGCCGCTGTGTGCTCTGCTCCTCCCAAAGCTAAGATGCTTTGGGAGCGATGCTTAGTTGCTCGAGTCCAAGTCATGAGCTCAAGGCTGCGTAGGGCTGAGCATCCTCCCAGGTCACGGATGAGTGATGCCTGGGATATGCATGTTCCTCGCTCCTTCGGAGGCTTGCAAAGACTTTCTGAGGCCCTGGCCGAATTCCCTCTGCTCACATGTGTGCGGCGGGGATTTCTGGCCAGGTCCTGGACAAGGTCGCTGCTCTGTATGCCAACAACACGGCCAGGCTGGAGCTGCTCCCCGGAGGCATGCTGGAGGCTGACGGCTCCCTCTTCAGTGCCATCATCCTGGACCAGTTTGTGCGCCTGCGTGATGGTGACAGATTTTGGTTCGAAAACACCAAGAATGGGTAAATGCCTCTTCCCCTTCTGGCACATGGAGTAGGCTGCCCACTGCTCTAAGACATAGCAACTAGCGCTGGAGGAAGAAACCATCCTCCTGCTTCCTTGGTTCCTAAAACAGTGCGGGGGGGAACAAATCCCTCCTGCTGCCAGACAGTGACACCCAGGGCCACTGCTTGGCCCCGCATCTTTTTCCCCAGGCTGTTCACAGTGGAGGAAACCAGTAAGATCCGTAACACCACCTTCCATGACGTCCTGGCTGCCATCACCTCTGCAGACCCCACAGACCTCCAGCCCCACGTGTTCGTCTGGAGCACAGGTGAGTGCTTCGCGCAACGGCAGGGCGCAGGGAGCAAACGGCACCAGTGCGTGAGGGAGGAGAGCAGACCCATCTCGGTGACATGACTGGTGACTCAGTGACACAGGGAAAGCATCAGGCTGGCCATTTCTCAAGCCTGACACCTGCTATGCTCCTAAGCCAGTAAAATGTGTGCAAAATGCACACAAGAGTTGCTTGTAAGCAAGGCGGGCAGCGCTGATGTTGAAAGTGGGCTGAAGTCCAGGCATGTGCATTGCATGAGTCTTGGAAAGATCTCCGGGAACAAAAATGCAACTGATGCTCTGGAAGGTCATGCTGCGGTTAAAGCTTGCCCTCTGCCTACCCCACGCTGTGACATGATCCTCACTGACGTGTCCTCTAGCTCCTTTAATATACAAGCACACACAGGTCTGCAGGTTAAACTGATGGGTGACCTGAAAGGTGATGAAGTTTGTGGATGAGTTAAGCTTTGCATACCATAGCTGTGTAATGTTCCCTACTCTTGCCTTTAATTGCATCAATCCCTGAACGTGCCCTGGGTGCTGGACCACAACGCCCACTCCTGCCCAGCTGCTCCGCTGATGGGGTGGCTTGTTAACCGGGGCTGCTGGAAAGGCTGGACAGGCTTTCCTGCAGATGTGGTTGCGCCGGCAGCGTGAAGTGCACCGGCAGCGTGAACTGCGCCAGCCAGATTTCAGCCCAGGGAGAGCTCAGGGCTTGCGTCCCAGCATGTTTTGGGTTCCCAGCAGGGTAGGAGCAGCCTAGTCCCGTGCTGGTGTGCACCCCTCAGCCCAGTGCCCTCCTGTGCCTTCCTTGAAATGAGCTTGCCTCTCCCCACTGAGACCCAAAGAGTCCTGCTGCCATGCTCAGGGTGAGGTGTGGCAAACACAGCAGTATGCCTTTTCCTCTCAGGATCTTGCCACACCCTTCCCATTTACCGAAAGCATTTTACTTGGCACACGTTCCAGCCCTTGCAAGGCGTTTTGGTTCCCTTGGCACACGCTCTCTGTAACTGCACCAAGAGCACTCCCTGGATTTGCAGCATACGGATGAGCAGAGGCTCTGAGCCCCAATTTTCTGTGGCCCAGGGTGCTTCCTGCTCAGCCCATCCCATCAGGAGAGGTGATGGTGCTGAACTTCCAGAGTGCTTGACTCCAGTTTTGTGCTTGGTTTGCTGTGGCAGGCAAAGGTTCAACCCAAAAACAAGGGTTGTCCCCTAAGATCTGGAGTTCAATTTGAGCATCCCAGTTTTGCAGTGCTCCTTGGGTGACTCGGCAATGAACCCCACTGGCATCTTGATGCAGATGTTCCTGGGGTATGAGAGGGTTAAAAGGTCCGTGACACTCACAGCCTGTCTCCCCCCGTGCAGAGGACCCGTGCCCCCAGCCCCAGCAGCTGACAGCTCAACACCTGGCCCACTGCACACCCATGACCGTGCTTGACTACTTCGAAGGCAGCGGCGCAGGCTTTGGGATCATCATCGTTGTCCTCTGCTGTCTGCCTTTAGGTTTGCTGCTCCGTTTCTTTACCCATCTCCTCTTCCACCGGAGGAAGGGGTTGAGTGCCCCATGGACCAAGCACCTCCCAGCAGGAGCTGCTGTGTCTTGGCCACTCTTGAGGTCCTTGAGGTGGCAGGGTCCTTGGGCATCAGGTGGGAGCAGGGATTTCATGGTGCAACCCTATGTTAAATAAAACTGGGGGGGGTGGGGGGAAGAAGTAAACCCCTGTCTGCCCCAGTCATACAGGTGATGATGCCAAAGCGGGAAGGAGATTTGTGGTTTCTCATGCATTCTTCTCACGTGTCCCCAGTGACTCTGTTTGTTGCCTGGATCGTTGCCGTTCTCCGCAGGAGAGATTTCAAGAAGCTGCAGAAGAAGCACAGCTCCAGCGTGCGGAGGGAGGTGACCATGGAGGCCTTACACGGTGAGGAGGCACTGTCGGACCTGCGATGGATTTGGTGATGCTGCTGAAGTCAGGGCACATACCAAGGCAGGGCTGGGCTTGGAGCTTATATCCAAAATGGATATAAGGAGAAGCTGTTTCCCCAGGAAGATAGTCAAGCAGTGGAGCAGGTAGCCCAGAGAGGTTGTGCAGTCTCCATCCTCTCCAAGACCTGACTGGACAAAGCCTTGAGCAGCCTGGCCTGACCCTGTAGCTGGTCCTACTTCAGGCAGGAGGCTGGGCGAGAGACCCTTCTGACCTGAGTCCCTTCCAACCCAAGTCATCCTGTGACCCTGTAATTACAACCCTCTCCACACTTTATCTGAAGGAAACTTATGTAGAGCAATTGGACCAGTAGCTCCAGGACAGGGACTGTATTTCCTTGTCATGGACACTGGAAAAATCCTGCCTCCCTGCTCCATGGTCTGTACTCCTCCACTCTCCATGTGCTTGAGCTCTGCGGTTGGGAGATCACCACTATTCCCTTAACACGTGTCTGGTCATGCAATCACTCCCAAGCTGCATCTCGATGAAGGAGGTGCTGGGATGAATAGAAGCGCAGGTGCGCCTTTCCAGCTGAATCCTCTGCTCTCTCCCACCAGCCATGGAGTGGCACGGTCCCAAGACAGACAGCTCTCCCGTCTTCATTCAGCTCCAAGCTGATAAAGTGCTCAAAGTGCTGGATGGGAGAGGGTCTGTGCTCCGGAGCATCAGCCTGAAAACCCATCAAAGGGTGGAGGTGATCCTCTCTAGCAACAAAGGGAACAAAGCTCTGCTCCTGAAGAGCCCCAAGGAGTATGACCTGGTGAGTACCATGATGCCTGGGATATGATACCTTCGCCTGGACTCTCCACCATCCTCTGCCACTGGTCACGTACACCCTGGGCACTGGCAGCCACTCAGTCCTGGGCACTGGGAGCAGAGTAGGTCCCTGAAGCATGGCTGTGGAACCTCCTGAGAACCACCAGGTCCAGCTCATACTGTGGAGCGAGCACTGTGGTGAAGAGCAGCAGCACTCACGTCCCAACTGGGCCTCTGCTGCTCACAGCCATCGGTGGGGTCTTCTGCAGGTGCTGCTTTTCAGCGAGGAGGCTGAGAGGAGCAGTTTCATTGGGAAGCTACGAGGCTACTTGGAGGAGAGCGGCCTTGATCTGCAGGTATCTGAGATGAAGGAGCAGAACCTGATGAAACAGGCAGTCACCCAGGAGCAGAGAAAACAAATTCTTGAGACTTTCTTCAGGCACCTGTTTGCTCAGGTATGTAAAGGTGTGGCAGGCTCTGTTGTGTGGCGGAAGGTATTTCTGTATTGATTAAGCAATGAACGTTGCTGCTGTTGCTTTCCGTAAGAGCTGGTAAGCCATGTACAAGGAAGCTGCCAATACTTTCAGGACCAAGGGACATTTTCCCTTGCAGAAGACAAAGGGAGTTCTGCTGTGGCGATATAAGGGTCTAAAGTTGCAAAGAGACTTCTGGATGATGTAATCAAGGTCTTCATAATGGTCAGTGGTGTTTAGTGTGAAAGTCACATTGAGTAGGAGAGACACAGGACTTCCTCATGGTATCTCCCATGAGTTTTGTGCCAGGGGAGCCACCGTTCTCTGTGCAATAGGTTGGGCAAGTGAACACCAGCCTTCTGCTCTGCCAGCACTCATGGGATTTCTTTTGTGGGACACAACCTGCAGGTGCTGGAAATCGACAGGTCTGATGCTGGAGAGCTCAACTTTGAATCTTCACAGAAGGCAAAGGAATCTCTGACATGTGAGCTGAGCAGGGCTGAGTTTGCCGAGGCCCTGGGGCTCAAAGCCCACTCCATGTTTGTGGAGTCCATGTTCTCCCTGGCCGACAAAGACGGCAATGGCTACATCTCCTTCCGGGAGTTCTTGGACATCTTGGTGGTCTTCATGAAAGGTGGGAGCTGGAGCTGGTCTTCATCTGTTGCCCTAAGTCCTGTTTCTAGGGTCTGGCAATGCCACCAGCAGAGTGAAGGACAAGATCCATCCAGCAGGTCAATCTGTAGAAGCGTCTACAAACTCCCATCACTTAGGACAGCTTCAATTTGAGTTATGGGACAGTGACAATGTAATTATGTTTTCTGTAAGGCTGTCTATGAGGGGAGCTATCTCAGAGCAATGATTTGCTGATCTGTCACTGCCATAGACAAGTCTGCCCCATCTTCTGAACAGACCATGCATCCTGTCCTTGACAGATGGTAACAGCCATATCAGATACCATAATTGACCTCTGGAAAGGTAGATTCCTAGATGGAGGTGGTAAATGCCAGATTCAATCAAAGCAGCTCCCAGAAAAATTTTGAGTTTGCAAAATAAAGCTCAAGAAAGAATGTCTATCATCTACCCAATTTTTCACCTTGCACTTGAGAAAGTCAAGCAGAAGGGAGGCACACTAGTGACATTCAGTCACTGCTCAAGCTGAGATCAGCAGTGTGCTTTCAGTCTTTCCAGAGCCGGGTGAGACTTCACTACTGCAGGTCCAGACTCGCAAAGACAATGTTTGAAAGCACTTTTGCCAATGAAAATAGGATCTTGCTCTTTCTTCGCCTCTCTCCCTCCCCCTGCCAGGGTCCCCAGAGGAGAAGTCCAAGGTGATGTTCAGGATGTATGACATTGATGAGAACGGGTTCCTCTCCAAGGAGGAGTTTCTGAGGATGCTCAGGTACTTCTCATCTCTCCAGATGTTTCCACCATGTCTGTAAACAAAAGCAGCTCCCAGTTTCTGTGCTTCATCCCCCAAGGGTGCTGTGTGAGAACCCATGGGCTCAACACTCACAACCAAGAGCCCATATCTCCTCTGAAACTGGTCTGGGGCTCTGCCCTGGGTTATTTGAAGGACTCAAGCTGTGGTTCTCTGAGGTTCCCATCTCCCCTCCTTGCTCCAGGTCCTTCATCGAGATCTCTAACAACTGCCTGTCAAGAGAGCAGGCAGAGCAGGTGACCGAGTCGATGTTTCGGGCCTCAGGGTTTCAGGACAGGGATGAGTTGACATGGGAGGATTTTCACTACATGCTGCGGGACCACGACAGCGAGCTTCGTCTCACTCAGCTCTGCATCAAAGGTCAGTGGGCAGGAGCCCTGGGTCACCCTTGCAGGGCTGGAGGCGATGGGCGGCACCCAATGCGCAGCTCCCAAGTCTTGTCCCACCAACCTCTCCAGCCCACTGCAGTAACGGGGCATCAGCTGTCGCTCTGTGTGCGACGTTTTGGTCAGCTCAGAGCCCCTCCCCACCCCACCCCTGCCCAGGGGAGATGCCTAAACCTTGTCCACCGTATCGCACACACTTGAAACCGTTGTTTGTCCTTTTGGCTCCTGAAGGTATCCCCGAGGTGCTCAAGCAAAACCTGCACAACCGCGTCTCCTTCATAAAAAAGAAAGAGCCAAAAGAGTAAGCTCTCCTCCTTAGTCTTGCTGCTGCATCTTCTTTTTCTGCCCAGCTGTGCATCCATCTTTCATTGCACCCCCTCCAACAAATGCTCCCACCAAATGTTGCCCAGTGCTGGGAAAGGGGGACACCACGCTGGGACATACCCATGAGCAAGCCAGATGCTGTGGTGGGGCTGCAGGCATGCAGGCGGACAGAGGGGAGGAACCGCCTCCTGCAGGGCTCCCATTGCATCCACTACACGGGGATGGAAGTCCAACCTTGCTTTTCAGAGGGGAGGGTTATCTTGAGTGAATCCAGCCCATGTACTATGCAGTTAAAGTCAACGCAAGCAGGCTTGCAGGAAAGAGCTGGACACCTTCACAGCCTGAAAGGGAAAGTGGGGAAATGCAGAAAATTTTGGCAAGCCCATCCTAGAAGTACAGCTTTAGGCTAGACATAATTCTATTCCCAACAGAACCATCGTAGAGGAGGAGAAAGAACTGGACACCGTGAGCCACTATGTGGAGCAAGAAGGGCAAGAGCTGAGGAAGAGACCAGGCAGAAAGTGAGCACGCCCCCTCCTTGTTGGGCAAGCTTCTTGTGTCCAGGCTCAGCCTGTTTACTGTTTCTCATGTCTCTGTGTTGGACTGGGTAGCCCTCTGGTCGAATGGCACCGCTGCAGGGAGCCAGCACCCCCATGACGGCGGTGCAACGTAGGGAGGGGATGTGAGACCGTCCCTGCAGGAGATGCCCCAGCCCAGGCAGGCACAGCCGAGGAACTACAGGAACAGCCCTGTCTTGGCGGGGATGGTGCTGTAGCTGGGTCTGGGTGATGTGCCTCTATTAAAAAAAAAAAAAAAACAAAAACAAACCAAAAATGAAGTGGCCAGCTCCAGAGCCCAGTGGTTTTTAGAGTGTTTGCCTTGCCCGCAGAGAGGGGCTTTGCCTGGCACGTCCTGCCCGCGCTCCTCGGCCCCCTGGGACGCTGCTGGTTTACCCGCGGGCTGCTGCAGGAGCTGCAGGAGAGACTCCGGTCCTCACTGCTGTGGCAGCAGCAAGTATTTCTACAAGGAAGCAGTTAAGTGGTTGTTATTCATGGCCAGAATATCCTGGTTTGCCCTAATAGCTCCAAGAACCTTCCCCTACCCCCGGATCAATTTGGAGGGTTGAATATTAAAATTATCTTTTAGAGTTCTTATCTACAGTTTCCTTTGTGAGTCACTATCTGCACATTTGTTATCAGCTTTCAAAAGTGTGTAGACTGCGGCAACCTGAGATCAGCCGCTGGCACTGTGCTCTGCAGGTCACTGCTGTCACCGGCGTGCAGAGGTGGTCGCAGTGCTGTACAGGGAGGAAGACCCAAATCTGGGCAGCATGGCCCTGAGCCATATCTTGCCTGCTAAACCTCGAAATGACGCCAGCCCTCCTGTATTTTCCAGGGTGAATCAGAACCAGTTGCATTTGTACACTGAAGCACAACGGAGGAAGTACGAGCGGAACAAAGTTCAGCAGAAGATCCAGGAGTTTAAGCGCTTCATTGAGAATTACCGGCGCCATATTGTCTGTGTGGTCCTCTTCTCTGCCATCACCGCTGGCCTGTTCGTGGAGAGAGCCTACTGTGAGTGCCCATCCAGCCCCAGACGCTTGTCTCCTCAAAGCTGCTGGTTGCATGGGGCATGCTGGGGTGTGAAAGGTCCTGGTACAACTTTGGGCAACAGTGTTGGTCCTCTTCTGGAATAACCAAAGGATTACTGAGGTTGGAGGAGGCCTCTGAAGGGGTCTGGTCCAATGCTCTGCTCAGAGCAAGGTCAATTTCAAAGTTGAATCAGGCTGCTGAAAGCCTTGTCTAGAGAAGGTTTGAAGAGCTCCAAGGTTGGAGATCCCACCACCTTGTTGGGCCTGTGCTAGTTTTTTGACCATCCTCCCTGTGAAGAGTTTTTATTTTACATCAAACCTGAATTTCCTTTGGTGAAACTTGTGCTGTTGCCTCTCATCCTTTCAATGTGCATCTCTGAGAAAAAGTTTGGCTTTCTCCCCTCTCCAATACCCATTAAGTGGTTGCAGACAGCCATAAAGTCTTCCCTGACCCATCTCCTCCAGCCTGAACAAGCCCATTTCCCTCAGCCTTTCCTCTACATGTCATCCAGCTCCCATCCATCCTGGTGGCCTCCACTGGGCTTGTTCCAGTTTGTTGACACCTCTCATGTTGGGATGCCCAACCGAGGACACAGTACCAAGGTGCCATTTCACAGTGTCTGGCAGGGGAGGACAATCCTCTCCCTTGATCTCCAAGGAGACCCTGTTACCCAGCAGCTCTGGGGGGTCTGACGCAGAGAATTGTGTCCCTGTCCCCACACAGCCCCATCCCTGGTGACCTTTTCCTGGTGGAGCCACACAGGTGGCCATCCCCTTGTCGCAGGAAGGCTCATGGCCCACAGCACCGGGCACATCGACTTCCTCTCTGCTCTCTGTCCCCAGACTACGCCTTCGCATCCCCCAGCACTGGAATCGCACAGACCACCTTTGTGGGGATCATCATCTCTCGGGGATCAGCTGCCTGCATCTCCTTCATGTACTCCTACATCCTGCTCACCATGTGCCGCAACCTCATCACTGTCCTGCGGGAGACCTTCCTCAATCACTACATCCCCTTCGATGCCGCTGTGGACTTCCACCGCTGGGTTGCCATGGCGGCCCTGATTTTCTCAGGTAAGTGGGCTGCTGGGGGATGTGTCGCTAAAGCAGGAGGACCAGCCTATCATGGCACAGCAGGACCAGGGAGAAGCTTGAAGACCCATATGGAGCCTAGAGAGACATACACGCTTTGCAGCAGAGGAGAGGAGGAATTGCCAGGTCCCTTGGCACATCAGCAGGGTCTGCTGCATCTCCAGCCACAGCAAGAGTGATGTTTTTCTCTCCTGGCTTCTGTCTCTTACAGTGCTCCACACTGCAGGTCACGTAGTGAACGTCTACATCTTCTCGGTCATGCCTCTCAGCGTGTTGTCCTGCCTCTTTTCCAGTGTCTTTATGGATGATGGGTAGGTGAAATTTAAAGCAGAGTCTGGACAGAGTGTCCTGGGCAGGGACAGGAATGAAAGTGGAAACCAGGAGCTGGCTCTGTCAATCTCTTGTCCCTCTCCAGGTCACAGCTCCCACAGAAGTATTACTGGTGGTTCTTCCAGACTATTCCAGGTGAGACCACCTAGCAGGCAGACCACCTGCACACCCATGCCCACGATGGGCAGCCCACTGGCCCAGCCCAGATGGGGTCCCTGTGGGGCTGCCCTGATCCCCACTGGGACCTCCCAACCCCTTCACTCACAGGCATGACAGGAGTGCTGCTCCTCGTGATCCTGGCTGTGATGTATGTGTTTGCCACCCACCACTTCCGACGCGTCAGCTTCCAGGGCTTCTGGATCACCCACCATCTCTATGTGCTCCTCTACGTCCTGGTAAAACATTTGGGCTGAGAAGGTCATGGGTCAGCCTGGCCAACAAGGTGAACTAGTTGGGGAGGTCCCAAGGGAGCTGGTGGCCGCAATCCTGGCTCCTCGCTGCTGCTGAGCTGCCACCAAATCAGACACGGGGCGATGGCTAACGGTGCCGAGTGCCATGCTGATGTGGGCTGCTCCCTGCCCAGGTCATCATCCACGGCAGCTACGCGCTGATCCAGCAGCCCCGCTTCCACATCTACTTCATCATCCCAGCTCTCATCTACAGCGCAGACAAGCTGCTCAGCCTGAGCAGGAAGAAGGTGGAGATCAGTGTGGTGAAAGCCGAGCTTCTGCCCTCAGGTACTGCATCCTCCCTGGCCATGCATCCGGGGCTGCAGGTAGGGAAACTGAGGCACAAAAGGTCAGGCCATCACACCCTGGGATCAGTTATTTACGCAAGAAGAGCTGATTGGCCCCAGGGCCAGGTCCTGAGCCCCATGCCTGGCCCCACGGCTCGTCCCCAAGCCCCCTCCTACCCACCCTGTGCACAGCTCTAACACTCCATCTTTCCATGAGCCCACTTATCTCCCCCAGCCCCATGCTCAATGTCTACACCTTAATGAAGTCCCCATCCCCATCCCCCCCCAGGGGTCACCCACCTCCGGTTCCAGCGGCCGCAGGACTTTGAGTACAAGTCCGGGCAGTGGGTGCGCATCGCCTGTGTGGCCCTGGGCACCACCGAGTACCACCCCTTCACCCTGACCTCAGCGCCGCACGAGGACACGCTGAGCCTGCACATCCGGGCCGTGGGGCCCTGGACCACCCGCCTGCGGGAGCTCTACTCCCCAGAGAGCCTGGCCCTCATCGGCAAGCTGCCCAAGGTGAGCCCCACGGTTTCTCCAGGGATGGGTACATCCGAGCCCAGGAGCATCTCAGCAATGGGTTGTGCCCAGCCTGAGGCACTCCTCCAGCCTTGAAGGTGGGCAAGACCTGGGCAAGTGGAGGAGGGAGATGCTCTGCTGATGGCTGGCTCCCTTCCAGCTCTATCTGGATGGGCCCTTTGGGGAGGGCCACCAGGAGTGGAACAAGTTCGAGGTGTCGGTGCTGGTGGGAGGAGGCATCGGGGTGACGCCCTTTGCATCCATCCTCAAAGACCTGGTCTTCAAGTCATCCATCAGCTCCAAGCTGCTGTGTAAGAAGGTAAGAGGAAGCATCTGGAGGCCAAGAGCCCTTCTGAGATGCCCCCTGCTGCTGGTGGCCTCTTCAGGGGCAAAATCCCCCATGATCCGGCTGGGAAGGAGCCCCATGGACGTGCGTGGGGTGTTGGCCCCACGCTGAACCTCGTCCCCATGTGCCACAGATCTACTTCATCTGGGTGACGCGCACGCAGCGGCAGTTTGAGTGGCTGGCAGACATCATCCGCGAGGTGGAGGAGGCAGACGGGAATGACCTAGTCTCCGTGCACATCTACATCACGCAGCTGGCCGAGAAGTTCGACCTGCGCACCACCATGCTGGTGAGCCTGGCCACCCACCTGGGAGGATGCCATGCCATGCTGGGCCATGCTGGGTCATCTGATGTGCACTGATCTCTCTTCCAGTACATCTGTGAGCGGCACTTCCAGAAGGTGCTGAACAAGAGCCTGTTCACGGGGCTGCGCTCCATCACCCATTTCGGGCGCCCGCCCTTCGTACCCTTCTTCAGCTCACTGCAGGAGGTTCACCCCGAGGTCAGTGCCTGGCTGTGGACAGGAGTGGGAGCATCTGCCGGCCAGTGTGGAGGACTGGTCCCAGCCTGTCCCCACGGCCCTGGAGATCTTGGTGGCATCTGCACCAAGGGCAGGGCAGAAGGAGCATGAACCCCACTTTCCCTCCGGAGTCGGGATGAGCTGCGAGAGCCAGCAATGCCTCGCACCAGCCAAACACTCCCCGGCTATGGCGAGACCCCGGAGCTGGCAGAGACCCTGGGGGATCCCATCCTTCCTTCATGGCCCCAGCAGCTCCACGGGGAGGGGACAACCTCCCCAAAAGCCTCATCAGGCCGGGACACACTGCCCAGCCAGCATCCGTGCACAAAGCTGCCGGAGGGCAAGGGGCCACTGGGGCTGGGGGCAGAGCTGGTGCTGCTGGGTTTGACCCCGTTGGCTCACTCCTTCCCCAGGTGCAGAAGATCGGGGTGTTCAGCTGTGGCCCGCCCGGGATGACAAAGAGCGTGGAAAAGGCTTGTCGACAGCTGAACAAGAAGGACCAGACCTACTTTGCACACCACTATGAGAATTTCTGACCCTACCCTCTGCCGTTTCACCCCTGGGCTGCAGTCGTCATTGGAAATGTGTTTTCAACCCCAGCACCTGTGCAGCAATGCTTCGGGTGGTCATGGTCCTGGGCTCCCACCCACCGCCATCCCCAGGAGATAAGCCATCCATGGCCGAGAGCATGGATGCTGAGGCCCGCAGAGCTGAGACCAGCATGCGGTGTGTCAGTAAAGCGCTGCCATCCCAGCACAGCCCCACTGTGAGCCCAGGGCATCCTGCTACCATCCACGCACTCCTGCAGCCCAGAGTGGCGTGTCCCAATCCAGACAACCCAGTGTTCGAGTTAAGCCCGGCTCTGCCAACTTAATCCCGCAGGGCAGAGCTCGTGCTCTGCCAGGTGGCTTGGGGAATGTCTCTGAACAGCTTGGTGCCTGCACAACCTCAATTCACAGCACTTTGTCCCAAGACTCGGGTGGCACGCACATGGGGTGAGGAGCCAGAGACCTCCCCACCATCCCTCTCCTTGAAACAGGCTCTGCTTTCCTAACGCACGTGTTCCTGCCTGCCCGTTAGCACTCCGAGCCTTCCCTGGGTTTGTGTAGGGCCTTAGTTGTGTTTGCATTGGCTTCCTTCAGCAGCTTCACTGTCCTTTGATCAGGGATCATTTGTGCTTGTTTAAATAACACCTAGCTTTAGTTAAGCCCATTGCTGGGCTGCTGCTCTCGCAGGCTGTGATTGAGCTTAAATAAAGCTGATTGAAGTTTTAAAACATTTTTCTTGCCCCTTGCATCTGGGTCTCGGTCACCTGGAGACTTTACTTGTGGCATAGTGCCAACCTTGCTCCTGTTACAGAGTATTTACACCAGCCCGCTGGGAGATGGGTTAAACAGAAGTTTCCCCTGTGCTGGTGATGTACGTTGGGCGGACACGGATTTGAGCCCAGGCACAGCCCCACGGAATGTGTCCTACCAGGTTCAGCACCCCCAGCAATGCCCCGACGGTGGCAATGCCCCGCAGCAAGACCTGGTGTGGGAGCAAATTACAGCCAAAGAGGCTGAGCCACGGGAACAGCTTCAGCCCTTGGGGTGTTAAACAGCCCCCTCAAGACCACAGGGAGCAGCTCTACATTTCCCGGTAATAACTGGGTCTTGCGATGGCCACTGGGGCTCCCCCCAGCACAGGAGTCGGGGGCCAGGAAAGCCCCACGGCTCAGCAAGAAGCCCCGGCTCACCCTCACTGCCAAAATCAGGCAGCCTTCCCCTCCTCGGTCATCACACGCCCTTCAGCAAGGTGCATTTTAGCAATTTTTGGACCAGCTCTGTCAACGTTACATCTGAGTACAGGGCCAGGCTCCCAGGTAGGCTTTACCTGCTTAGGCTGACGTGTTAACAACTCGCTTTACTCTGAGCAGTACTTTGATCGCTTCTCCTTCTGGCTACAGGAACTCCCCCTGGGTTACATTTCAGCCCTGTAAAACACAGCGCGGACTTGCAGGTCTGCCTCTGCCAAGATTACGGTAGCCACCTCTGCAATAAACACAAGCTTTGATTTGCAAGCGGTTGGGTCATTTAGGGTTTCACAGTCCTGCCAGCACCGAGCTCGCCTACAGCCTGGCGAGACCCAGCGGTGCAACAGCCCAGGGGTCTGCACAAGTCCCCAGGGCCCAAAGTCACTGACCCCCTTCAAACCACCCACCCAGCACTTCAGTGGACACAGGCATACCAGGTAGGTAGCATTTATTGAGGAAAGTTCAGTACCGGCCCAAGAAAGGGATTGATCTCCCAGTACTAAAATTAACTTGACTGTAATCAAAGATTGGATTTTGTTATCTGCAACCTGCTACCTTGCTAGTACCTCGTGCATGGCTCACAAACTCATCAGGAAGGCCCGATATCCCCAAATTCATTCGCAGTGGTAAGACCTCTGAGTGATGCTGTCCCCTTACTTCTCACCTGAGCTCCCCTCCATGCTAAAAGCGAGCTGTGCCCTGCAGCAGCAGCCCCTCCTGGGGCTCCCGGCAGTCCCAGCCAGAGGCAGGGCAGTTTACCTGCAGACATTGCAGCCCGCTCTGCAGAGCTGCTTCTGCCCCACGGGGAGCTGCTGGTGGGGATTACACAGTGGATATGGTCCCAGTTGGCCTTTAGACTATCTTCTCAAAAAAGCCCTGGTCTCTGGGCTTTGGGCCCGCAGTCTGCTATTTCCAAAGAGCATGGAGAGAATGACCTGAATATGCAGATGCTTCCTGCAGAGACGGGGTGGCCAGGCTTTGTTCCACAGGCTGTTACAGTCCCCGAGCGTCCCCGAGGGAAGGTGGGACTGGAAGGCAGAGTATTCACATAGGGCTATCCCGCGCCCAGGGATTGCCACGTGGGAAGAGCTGCGGCAAGAAAAGCCACAGGGCAGTGCTGAGGTGGGAAGGTGGAGCGCCAGCGTCTCCATCCTCGCTTCACCCACACGTGTCCACGTGCACAAACCCTGCGGCCATGTGGGCAGCTCTGCCCGACACATGCAGACACCCAGGATCTTAAGTGTGTGGCGTCTGCCGGAGAAGAACTACCCATGTGAACCATCGTCTCTACCCAAACAGCAGCGTTTTGATTCAAAGTATTCGTTCTCCATTTGTAGTTACCTGTTAATGCTCTAACGGTGTATCCCTCAGTGCCGTTCACCCTCATTATCATTTGATTTTCTAGGTCTATTACAAAGCAGCGCCTGCATAAGGTGACTGTGTAAACACGCAACAGCCATACATCAGCCTCCTGTGGCCTCATGCTTTGCGTCTCAGGCAGGCAGCGTAACGGGGGAGAGGGCCGGGCACCGCAGCATCTCAGGGGTTGTGGTCGGTGGGGTCACACTTCAGCATGACTTTTACCCCCTCGCCCCTCTTGGTGGTCTCGAATGCCTCAAGAGCCTTTTCCAGGGGGAAGCGGTGCGTAACCAAGGGCTTGACGTTGATCCGCTTGGATGCGAGGAGAGCAATTGCCACGGGCCACCTGCGAGGGAAACGGAGAGCAGGAGATGAGAGCAGTCACCAGTTTAGCGCCCCAAGGAAAGAGCACGGAGGAGCCTGGTTTAATTACAGTAATTTCCTCAGCCCAGGCAACCCAGGGGAGTTTTGCCCACAAACAATCTTCCAGAGGAGGAACCTCACTCCCGCATCAGGCATGGGAGACGGGACAAGCCAACTGCTTTGGGCTGCTGAGCACCGAGGAGGCAGGCACAGCTACACATCTGAAAACAAAACTGCTGTGTGCTGCTCTCCTCTTGCCCTGCCTCCTCGCTTGCAGACTGATCACTGCGGAGTTCAAACTCACTGACTCGGTGCAGGGAGAAGAAAGGAAAAGCCTCAGTCAGCGTCCAACCTCTTCTTTGGTGGAGACTCATGTAATTTGGTTGCCTTGCCGCTCCACTTAAATGAGCCAAATTAGAGCGATGGGGATACAAAGGGATGCAGCAGCTAATCTAATTCCCAAACCACCTACTTAAAGACATTCCTCATTTTAAGGAGTTTGACTACATCTCATAAATCCCTCCTGGAAAACAACCTCTACAGACTAAGCACAGATTCCTGCTCTGCTAGGAAGAAACTAGAGCTCTGAATGCAGCAGAAACCAGGCTGCAAGTGTGCAACCCTAGTCTCAAGCCCTGTCCAAGGAGAACAAGACCAAAGGGAGAAGAGCTGAGCTTTTCCTGCCTTCAGGGCAAGGCCAGCTTTCAGTACACCAAAAGATCTGCCCGTCCACAAGCCATGCGGCTCAGTTCTCCATAGAGAGCGCACACGCCTTCGAACTGGTTCCAGATATATGTTCAGCTCCAGCAAAATAATGAAAACTAAACGTGGCTCTTGCTTATCCAAGCATTCACTGATCTCCAGCAAGACCAACAACATGATTTCCTTCCATGACCACCAGCAAGGCTGGGATTCACTGCTTGACACAGGATGAGGCGCTTGGGATTTTGACTCTTTTCCCAGAATTAAGATTCCCTGTATCACTCACCTCAACACTGACAATATGACAGTTCGGAAGGTGGATGTCGGGAAGCAGCCAGCTTTTCACAAAGAAGTGCGGGGGGTCAGGGCCAGGCCAGGCTCCTGCTTAGAGATCTCCCAGCACACAGCGTTGAAGCAGCTAAAAGCTGTGTGTTCCTCTCTGCCGTGCCACGAGCCAGCACATTTATGGACAAGCTAGTCTCCAAAACACCCCCAGCACCTGGCCTTCCCTTTCTACAGGGCATGAGTTGAAGGCACAAAAAATAATTTATTTTTTTTTAATTTTTTTTTGGCCTGCTTGCTCACAGCAGATTAAGGGTTTGTTTGGTCTCTTCCTTTCTGTGCACCAAATGCTGCGTGAAATAGGACAGTGGGACAACTCAGTTGGACAGCCCAGTTGGTCAGTGAGGTAGGTTGAGAACTGGCTGAACAGCAGAGCCCAGAGGGTTGTGATCAGCCATGCAGAGTCTAGTTGGAGGCCTGTAGCTAGTGGTGTGCCCCAAGGGTCAGTGCTTGGTCCAGTCTTGTTCAACATATTCATCAGTGACCTGGACAGGGGACAGAGTGCACCCTCAGCAAATTCGCTGACGATACCAAACTGGGAGGAGTGGCCTACACACCAGAAGGCTGTGTTGCCATTCAGCAAGATCTGGACAGGCTGGAGAGTTGGGTGCAGAGGAACCACATGAAATTAAACAAGAGCAAGTATAGGGTCCTGCACCCAGAGAAGAACAACCCCAGGCACCAGTACAGGTGAGTGGTTGACCTGCTGGGAAGCAGCACTGCGGAGAAGGACCTGGGAGTCCTGGTGGACAACAAGTTATCTACGAGCCAGCAATGTGCCCTCATGGCCAAGAAGGCCAATGGTGTCCTGGGGTACATTCAGAAGAGCATGGCCAGCAGGCCGAGGGAGGTTCTCCTCCCCCTCTGCTCTGCCCTGGTGAGGCCACATCTGGAGTTCTGTGTCCAGTGCTGGGCTCCCCGGTTACAGACAGACAGGGAACTGCTGGAGAGAGTCCAGTGGAGGGCTACAAGGAT